CCCCACCCCCCCCCCCCCAAAAAAAAAAGAAAGAGAAAAAAGGAAGCTTCTAGCTAGGTGTGGACTCATGCCTTTAAACCCAGCACTTGGGCAGGAGGATCTCTGTAAGTTCAAGGCTAACCTGGTCTACAGAATGAGTTCCAGGACAGCCAGGGATACACAGAGAAACCCTGTCTTGAAAGACAGAGAGAGGAAGAGAGAACTTCTGAAATGCTTTGCCATTCTAACCCAAAGAGACAAAGAGAGGACTCTCCATTGAAGAACCAAGAGGGGATGTGGAACCTCATTCTCTGCCTGCCCTCTCCCTCTGGTATCTGTTAATAGCACCACATAGTAGACAATAAACGTCTAAAAGCACAGGCATCTGTACATTGGCCTGTGTCCTACAATCCTCGCGGAGGGATTCCCAAGCTGTGCCCTCTCCCTTGACACAGAATATCTAAAATCCCAAGCAGGACCTGGACAGCAGGGCAGGGCACCTCCTGCCTACTCACCAGGTCCTCCAGGTTGTTATAGGTGCTGAAGTCCGTGTCCAGGGTTAGTGGGTAGTTCATAGCTGCAGTCCTGCGTCACCAGACTGCTCACACCACACTGATGCTGAGAAGCTCTGTGCTGGTGCCTATGGAGAGGTGGCAGGCGTCAGCTGCAAATTTAAACAAATGAGCTGCGTGCTGTCTCCTGGGGCTGTGGAGGGCTTGCCACTTGCCTCTCAACTCATCATTTTTTTTTTCCACTGGGTCTTTTTTGTTTTGTGTGTGTGCGTGTGTGTGTGTGTGTATGTGTGTTTTTCCTTTATTTTTTCTTTCTTTAAAGAAAAAGGGAAACTCCCTCACAGCATCAGCACTAGTCAAGCTTTTCAGCATCTTTCCTGGCAGCTGTGGTCTGAAGTGGGCCAGGGGTCTGAGGTGAAGGGCGGCCTTTTGCTCCTGCTCACTGGCTCTCTATGAGGGAGGCACACAGACTTGGGAAACTCCTTACAGAAAGGGACAAGAAAAGAGTGTTTCTAGCCACCTCTAGGTCTTCACTTTTCTCGTCATGGGGGTGACCGACCATACCAGTTTGCCCAGAACCAAAAGGAAGTCCCCTGTCCTGGGAAACCCCTCAGTCCTAGGCAAGCCAAGGCACTTGATCAACCTGTTACTGCCATCCATTGGCCCAGCCAGGAAGGAGTACCCCCTCCCCTTACCTTTTCAGCTCAAGTATGGAAGAGATAAGCTAGAAGTTTTCAAGGGGAACAACCCTAAAATAATACTAGAAGACCAAGAAATGAAATTACCAAATGAAAACACAACATAAACGCAGCTACGGAGCCATGTTCTGACTCAGAAATAACGATGTTCCGCCCACAAACAAACTTGTAGACGGTCTGGCTAGAAAGGACCTAGACTACCCCTCCCTCCAATTTTGCACAAGAGGTCCCTGTAGGAGAGAGAGAGAGAGAGAGAGAGAGAGAGAGAGAGAGAGAGAGACTTATCCAGGATCCTATAACACATCCATGGCAGCCATCTTGCATCCAAGGGTCCTGACTCAGTATTTATCATCCTCTGATCCCCAAGGCAGCTGGTTTACAGACTCACAGCAGCACCTGCTCTTCCTCCTGCTCTGTCCTGTTACCCTGAATGTCACTTCTTTCATGAAGACCTGCGGCAGACATTGATCCATTTCCCCTCCAGGTGGGTTTTTCTTCCACGGTGGTCTCGTTTCCTGACTTGGTCCACAATAGTGTAGGACTGGACCCGAGTAGGACTGGACCCGAAGGTGCCTACATATGGTATACTGGCGTGTTTTGTTTAGGTTTTGTGTGGGTATGTCTATGTGTGTTTTGTTTTGCTCTGCTCCAACTTTGTAACCATCCTCCCCTTCCAAGCCCAATCCCTACCACCGTGTGGCAGGCTGTTTCTCTACTCTGCCGTTGCCATCACCCTGCCCCCCACCGCAGGTAAATCACCTTTCAAGGGGATCCTATCCTGACCAGGGTTCTCCTTCACCATCTCCAGAGCCCAGTCTCCCCTTTTCCAGCCTGCACACCTTGGTTAGTCCCACCCTGTCCGCAACATAAAAAACGTCTTCCTGAAGGTTTAAAGTGGAAAGACTTTTAAGCTCCATTTGGACTGTCTCAGTCTCTCCCCTCTCGTTCCCTACCAATAGAAACTGCTCTTTAAAAAATTATTGCGTTTTTATTTATTTTAGTGTGTGTGTGTATGTGCACATGTGTGCGTGTTCTTGTGCATGCGTATGTGGGAGAGAGCAAGCGAGCACCTGAGGGGGCCAGAGGAAAGCTTGTGAGGGTTGGTTCTCTCCTTCCACAGTGTGGGACCTGGGAATCAAACTCAGGTGGCCAGACTTGGCGACAAGTGTCTTTATCTGCAGATCCATCTTGCTGGCCCCAAAACCTTCCCTTGAGGAAGAAGATGGCCAGGACAAGGGGCTGGAGCTCTTGGCTGGTACTTCTAGTCCAGCATCCATCTGGGACACTGTCTCAGTGCCTCCTGAGTCTGGAAATGACTAAACAGTATTTGTCCTTCCAACGCTACCCCACGTCGTCTTGCTCCTCCAGCCTGTACGCAGGGTAGCGTTTGCTGCCTTGAACACTCTGCACAGAAAAAAAAATACAGAACATGAGACTCTCCTAGGCATGGAAAAAGACTTTGAAAGCCAGTCAGTCACCCCTCACTCTACTCCTACCCCCAGGGAATGCAAGAATAGAAGTCACTGCATCTTCATCAAACAACCAGCCACGGGGTGAGAAAGTCACTTTATGAAAATGCTTCTTCAGATGTAAGGGTGAATTTCTGTCACCGTAGCGCTTGTGTGTGTGTGTGGGGGGGTAAGGCAGAAGGATTGTGAGTGTGGGGCTAAAGTGGACTATGTGGTTAGACCCATCCAAAAAATGAAAAAGAAGAAGAAGAAGAAGAAGAAGAAGAAGAAGAAGAGGAGGAGGAGGAGGAGGAGGAGGAGGAGGAGGAGGAGGAGGAGGAGGGAGGGAAGAAGAAGAAGAAGAAGAGGAGGAGGAGGAGGGAGGGATCTTGTTTCAGAGTGGGAAGGTTTTAGTATTTAGGGTTAGAAACTGACTCTTCACGCTGAGTCAAAATGTATCTTCTTGCGATGTCCCAGCGGTCCTAGGGTCTCACACAGGACCATGCAGAATGTCTCCCAAGTGACCTCTGCCTACAGACATCATGTGCTTGTGAGTCTCCTGTTTTGCAAACCCATATTCTAATGTCTTCAACTAGTTTTCAAAGAACTGATTTCTGGGTCCCTTATCAGTTTGATTTTTGACCTCTGGGTGATTTCCGGTCAGTAGTCCAGGAAGTCTGTGGCTAAGATAAACTCTAGGAAACTGAGTTTCCTTGTTAAACGTATTTAGTTGCAATTAGCATGACCATTCCTGTGGGCTCCTTTTCCTCTTAGTGGGTTTCATGCTGATGGTTCTAACCTATCATTTGATTTTATAACGGGAAACTTGTTGCCTGTGGCCGTGATGACAACAAAGAAAAGCCATCGCTGGGGCTGGTCACTTCTTGATAGGAGCTCTTAGCAGGACAAAGCCAAAGCCAACATCTTGCTTCATGTCCCTGGACACCTCAAAGCTCTGAGAAGACGTCATAGAATAGGACCCAAGTTGGGAGTCCTATTAGGGAGGGGCATGATGGGGGGAGTGATGACTAGGATGGAGGGCAGCATTAAAAAGTGTGTGGATCCGGGCAGTGGTGGCACATGCCTTTAATCCCAGCAACTGAGAGGCAGAGATGGGCAGATCTCTGTGCATTTGAGGCCAGCCTGGTCTACGGAGTGAGTGAGTTTCATGACAAGCTCCAAGGCTATACAAAAAAAAAAACAAAAAAAACAAAACCCTGTCTCGAAAAACAAAACAACAACATAAACAAAACCAAAACAAAACAAGACTTGATTCCCATCGTGGGCCACCATTAAGAGGCGGTAGAAGGGAAAGATGTGGCTCTGTTGGTGAAGGGAGCGCTTGTGGAGAAGCATGAAGCCCTAGCTTCTGTCCCCAGCGCTGTAAACTGGGAGTGGTGGAACAAGGCTCTCAGCCTAGTACTTAGGAGGGAGAAGCGGCAAGATCAGAAATGTAAGGGTTATACAGGGAGTTTGGGGCAGACTGGGACGTACCGATCAAGCCTTTCACAGAAGAAGGGTGGTAGAACGCCTCGAAGACGTGGTGCTCGGGCCAGCAAGATGGCATATGTAGTGTGGAAAGGCTCTTGCTGTCAAAAGTTCTAGCCGTAAGAATCATACGGTAGGAGAGAGCCAACTCCCACAAGTTGTTCTCTGGCACGTAAGTGTTGTTGCATGCATGCACGCATGAGCGTAAGTGTGCACACACACTGAACGCAAACGTGAAGGCTATTTTGGCTGTCACCGTGACATAACTTGGGCACATCAATTGAATTTACTCCGTTAGGTTGATCTGTAGCAAGTCTGTGGGGTATTTCTTTTTTCCTTCTTTTTTGGTTTATTTTTATTATTTTATGTGTCTGAGTGTTCTGCCTATTTGTAAGCCTGTGTACCGAGGAGGTAGCAAGCCTCCATGAGGGTGCTGGGAATCAAACCTGGATCCTTTGCAAGAACAAGAGCCAAGTCTCCAGCCTCAAGGGGTGTTTTATTGATTGTTGGGTGATGTGGGAGTGCCCAACCCACTGTGGGCAGCGCCACCCCTGGGCGTGTGGTCCTGAGAGACACAAAGAAAGACAGCTGAACCTGAGCCTGGAAGCCAGCCGGTAAGCAGTGGTCCTGCCTGGTTTCTACTTCAGTTCCCGCCTCAGGTTTTTGCCCCAGCTTCCCTGGATAATGGCCTGTGAGACAGAAGTATAAATCGAATAAACCCATGACGTTTTATCACAGCACCAGCCAAGCAAACTAACACAGTAATAAAGATAAATAGGTAGAAATATCGATAGATAAATAAAGAGGCAGGGCCTAAAGCAGAGCGTGAAGGAACGTGGGTCTGTAATCTTAATGCCAAGAATGGAGTGTTGAGGCAGAAGCAAGACTGTCTCATAAACACAAGCCCAAAACAAAAACAAAAGAAGAGGTGGGCCAAGGGAGGTTCTGGGCAAGGTAATCCCCTCTAAACACAACTTTGCACAAATGGGCCTCCCTCGCCCCTTGGTTCTGCCATAATCTGCTGCCACAGGCCCAATTAAGTTAGCTGGGGATGGACTGAAACCTGGAAACCGTGAGCCAAGAGGAGCCTTTGTAAGCCTATGCTTGCAGATAGTTGTTACGGCAACAGGAAGCTTTCTGATAGATCACCACAGGCTTTTCAAACCCTCAGAAGAACCGCAGCACTGCCCACGCTGTGGCCCTTGATTTAAAAGATGTGAAGGCAGACGTTTCACCTATATATTGCAATCAGCTGGGATGGGGCCCTTCCAGGCAAGGCCGTCCAAATTGTATTTCAGCTTGCTGTTTGTGTAATCCCCACACAACTCAAAAGTGTGTGATTTCTACCATGTGGATGGCCTCTGAGGTTGAGTGGTTTTTTTTTTTTCCTCTTGAGACAGGGTTTCCCTGTGTAGCTTCTTGAAGTCTGTCTTGGAACTCACTTTGTAGACCAGGCTG